AGACATCACCGCAAACACCGTGTCTTCACTCACTTTAATGATGAAGCGCTCGACTGATTGGACGATATGTTTATACATTTTGATGGCTTTCATCGACGCTTTGGTGATCTGAGACATCTTGGCCTTCGAGATGGGCGGCCGCACCTCATAGAGTGATGACAGCTGTAAGACAAACACACCGTCAGTATTAGTGGACAATCAAAAGGTGGGAGCAGTTGGTCGTCGGGCCACACATCCATCGCCCAAACAAACAGACAATCAAACAGACAATCACTCAAACAATGTCTCACTTCTGCATTGAACTGCTGAACCACTTCTGTATCCCGAGAAGACATCGTTGTGTCGTTTGATTGGGTTTACGTTGAATCGGATCAACACAGAGACACGCGATCTCTGGAGTCGTTTACGATATTTGCGTTGATTTACAGACACGAAGACATTGAGCACCAAATGTCCACCACTTCTGCGATCAGATCTCTTGGACTGCGAGTACGAGTCAAACGGCGCCTCAGGTGGTGGTCACAGATAGCTGTGATGTGTGTGATATGCGATGTATGGGCCGATCGGACGTACGGATCAATTGCCGCCAATCGGTGTCCATATCTTCATCGATGTCTTCATTGTTTGATTTTTTTCGTCAAAATGATATAATTTTTTGTTTCAATTTCTTAAGCGTTAAAAATGGCTGACATTTAGTGGTCAATGAATGCGGTTTTTGTTGACATAAACCATATGTTTATAACTAAAAGTGTGAACAATTGGTTCTCAAAGACTGTACGCCGGACTACACAGGCTTTGTATTGTGGGTTCGTTAATGAATAACGTTTACTCAGAATAGCAGTGGGAAATCATGTCCCTGGTCATTCTAAATCCATTTCAAACTATTTAACGTATAATTCATACTTTAAAATTAAATTATCCTGGTTGAATTTATTAATATTTTATTTATTAAATGTTTAACGTATATACTAAATGATCCTGATAGAATTTAAATTATCACCCCTACTCCTATAGACACGTAGTCACAGTGTTTGTGAATTAATGATATTTCAATGTAATTTCAATACCGGAATCTGGAGAGTCGATCGCAATGTCTATGACTGTATTCATGACAACTTTATACCACTTTCACTTTTAATTAACTTTTAATTCAATTAAATTGTTTTATTAAAACATTTAATTATTAGATATAAATAGAAACACCAATTAACACATATAATTAATACAATAATCATGGTCAAAGCAAAAAATGAATTTCTATAATAAATGCAAAATTTATAAAACAGTAAACATAGCATACGATTGCATAACAAATACAAATGCAATCAAAACACATGTATTGACAGCGAAAAGACATTTAAATAATGAATTGTTTGGCAAATAGTCTTCATTTGAGATATTGTTTAAGACATTTTCGGACATTCAATACAATCGGTGGTAGTATTTGCCGGCATTTGTCACAAAACACATCCAATCAGAAGATAATTAGCATAAATAATAATGAAACCATTGGTGACAATAAGCTTAAGAAATGTGTGGATCAGACAAAAGCCAAGTATTGATCCGTTTTATGAGTTATTTATGATTTAATGAAAAGTGTTTTTATCACATGAATGGTCAGCATTTCGGTGACATTCGTGACCAGTGATGGCAAACGGATCACCGGTTCCGGCAAAGAGGGCGACAGTCTTCTCGATGTTGTCGTCAATAATGACTTGGATTTAGACGGCTTTGGTATGACATGAATGTCGTGTATATCATCCCATACCTGATGTGATCTAATTGTGGTATTGATGTGCTCGTGTAGGCGCCTGTGAGGGGACACTGGCCTGTTCCACATGTCATCTCATATTCAAAGGCCAAGACTTCTCGCGAATCAAAGACAAGGCGACCGATGAGGAGCTCGATATGTTGGACCTCGCCTTTGGTCTCTGCGATACGTGAGTTACCATTCATTACTCCATTCCTCCACTTGTAACCATACAAACCATTGAACCGTTTTGTGAGAAATAGTCAAACTAGTGATCTATTGAATTCATGTCCAACTGTTTGACTCATTGTCTATTGTATGGTTAGGTCCCGACTGGGCTGTCAGGTTATACTCACTAAATGGATGAATGGCTTAGAGGTGGAGGTGCCCGACAGTGTCAACGACGTCCGCACCAATTAGTAGTGATTTACAAATTATAGGCAGTCATTAAGTAATGGTTTTCACTAATTCTTACGATTGTTACTTGTTTTGCAATAATCAGTGAATCCATTGCTGCAGTTATAGTGAAATCGTTGAATATTTGACAACATTTTCTAATATTAGCAATAAAATTGATTTTTATAAATAAATTATTGCAAACAATGTTATTTCGATTCCGAGAATTCCTACATAATCTGAACATGGTCTCTATTTTCCATTTATGCCATTAAATATTAATCGTTGACTCTATTTATGCCAAACATGAACAGGGTATTAATAGCAAATAAGATTTTACACAACAATTTTAATAGTTTTTATTTTTGGTTCTTTATATACTCAACAAATAATATGTTTATATAGTTTTTTATAGTAAATAAAAAGATTATACAAAAAGGTATCGACAAAAAATCGACAGCCAAAAGGGTTTGACACAACTTTTGCGTTGATTTGTTTGTCTAATTATATTTGATGCGATTTTTGAAGTAACAGACAATAATATAATTATAATATCAAGTAAAGGCTTTTAAAGTATTTTCCAAATCAAATAGAAAAACAATATTTTTCATCAAAAAACATTGACAACAAACTCATCACAAGTTTTGGTGTTTTTTAGAGTAAAGAATATATAATATATTTTTTATACCTTTGTTTTATAGACAATATATTCAATGGTGTGTTACTTACATGTTTTGATAGTTTACTGTACTTACAATTATATTGATATTTTTTGTAGTTAGACATTAATTTTTAATCATTTTCTCATATGATATATAAAGTAATATAAACTTAAAATGTAGTCTTAATGTTATACAGTACTATATTAATAATGAATGTGATGTGCGTTCAGAACCATAAGATATATCCCATTCCCCTCTCTAATAACACCGTCTGTTTAGTGAAGCAATTTTAATACAATAAAAAGCAATTTCTCTCAATTGCTACACTTTTTGATTCACTCGTTTTGCACATCAATTGAAAAAAATACGAAAAAATTCTTTACAAATAAATAGATATGTTTTGAGCCAAAGAGAAAACTATAGCATTTGTTTCGTTACATACAGTGAATAAAATTATAACTATTTTATAATCTAAACATTTTTAACTCATTTCTTCGCATTAGTATTATTTTTAATTTATTTATAACTATATTTTTATAAGGTTTTTGTTGTAATGAATGGCAGGAATTATAACATTATTAATAATTGAATGTTTTTACTGCATATATCTGAACACTTACTCTAAATGTAAAGTGAATTTAAATATATATTTATTTTTGTTGCCTAATTTAATAACACTTGTTAAATCAATAATAATTAGTTTCATTGTTTATACTGTGAACCATTACTATGCTTTTTAATAGAAAATACTTTCTAATAGTTTTTTAATTACATATCTATTGGAATGACTTAGACTTAGATTTGAATCTGAATTTTCTCTATCAATCAAATAATGGCCCAAAAAACTACTAAAATAAATAAAACTCGTTTCAATGTATGTTTGTTTTAGTTGTCAAATTGGTTATCATTTCAAATAGATTTGATTATAGCCTAAAATGATACACTTTTTATCATTAAATACGAAAAGTTTGAAACAAAGTTATTTGATATCCATTTCGGCGAGCTCTCTCTCCAGTTCCTCCTCATCGATGTTGACGGCATCCCCGCCCACCACTTCGAACTCCTGCAGGTCTCGCGAGAGCTCCTCTTCCAGGTCTGTCATTCCCGACACAAACAAAACTATTGATTAATCCATTTGTCAGCAAAAAGAGACTTCACGTAAGAAATCAAAACACATCTCAACACAGAATATATTAAATAAAATGTGAAATTTATTTTCAATAACACTCGCATTCAATATAATTACCGTAAATAAATATCACTCCAAGTCACTGTATATACAGTATATTATATTCAAATAAATTAAGTGGTGTGCAAACTGAAAGTTATAATATTATGAATACACAGCAATCAACAAACGTATAATAATTAAAATCCAAACAACATTACAAACAACTTAAGAAATCCATTCAAAAGCGTCTAATATTTATCTAAATTCTAGTAACAAGTAAATATCACATCTGATATAATGTCTAACCTGTTAGTAATCTCCTATAGAAAGCAATTATAATAATATGTGCACAAAAATAGATATTAATTTTAATATAAATCCAAATTTATTTCGTTATTCAAAACAGAATTATTCCAATGAATTAAACATAAAGTTTTGCCCCAAAAGTAAAGTAAATAACATAAGTATAGTATAGCAGTAGTGATAGTGGTGTAGATTCTTTAAATCTCTATATTACTGTATTCTGTACTAAAGAATCTGTACTAAAGAATCTGTACTAAACAATCTATATTAATAGTCTAAAAACACAAAACAACGAAAAATCTGTGGCAATAAACTTATATGCCTTCAATTTAACACTAAATAACCCTTGAGTTGAAATGTCTTAATTGTGTTGAGCATTGTTCACAAATATAATAAAGAGATGGCTATTGAATTAATTATACATTATTAACAAGTAAATAATTACAGCAAGGACTCTCATAAGGGTCTATTATATACTCTCCATCTAAATATGGGTTTCCACAGTATTTTGTATGCACTCGCATCATATCATGTCATATCATATCACATATTAGTCCATAAAATAACATAAATTATAACATCCTATGAGAGATGAGAGCTCTTTAAAGCCAGTGCTCCGGAAAACAGGGTATCTATCGATCGGTTAGGCTGTGAGCGAGAAATTACTGTTGAATGCATTGAGAATATGTTTGACTCAAAAGTATAGCGAAAATCGATTACACTTTGAGACGAATTTTACATTTAAACTAAACGTAAGAATCGATTCTCTATTCGCGGGCTATATATACACCGAAAGACTCCTAAATTATAAAAACACAACATTTTCTCGCAATCCTCTGACTCCTAATTAACGGTAAATTAGACATAAAAGAAAAATAAAAACATTTTTAAATTCAATTTAATCACATATTTCAGCGCATAATACACACCAAAACTCGCACAAAACTATTCATAACTCCTATTGTGTGCATATGTTTTGCATTGATTTTTGAGCGCAAATATTCCGCACAATTATTGTGAAACCGTTTATACTGTGTGTGAATGTGTGTTGAGTATTGAATGCCAGGAATTTAGTTGTTATTCACTACTTTATATAACTTATATATGAGACCAGAATTTAGGTTTGAAATTACATTTTTATGTCATATATAAAGTGAAAATTATGTGACTTTCAGACAAATGAAGTCATAGTAATAAATATCTCATGAGAATAGTCTTCATTTTGAGCTAAAATACCACCGAATGGACAGAAAAGAGTCTGTTTTTGTTATGTACACTAAGGCTGTAAACAATGGACTCAATTAAAACACAAAAACACGATCAATACGAGTAAGAAATACGTGAAATGAAATCCAATTAATCGGATGGACAGCATAAAAAACGCACACTTTCTCTCTATTTGACAACAAATATATGACATTTCATATGAGAAACGCAAACAAAACAAAGATATATTACATAATAATTATAATATATTATTATACGATTCGTGTGTTTTGGTCACTAATCCCCGGAATTTGCCACAAAAACAATTGCCACAAAAAAAAGCAAAAAATACAAACAAAAAAATCTAAAAAACAAATTTAACGATAAACATACCATCAGTTGCTTTATTGCTATCCTTGCGGACACCCAACTGTCTCATCCCTTTGCGTACCTCCTCGGCCGACACCTGCGAGCCCTGGTAGGCGTCGGATATGAACTCAGGTTCAGCACCGGTCGGACTTTGGTCATCGCCGGGTTCGTCGGGACCCTCGGCTGACGAGGAACGAGAGGAAGACCACGAAGTGTTGCCTTTCTTATCGAAAGCGGACAGTTGTGTCGACTGTTTGATAAGCGACACCCGATAGAAGTAGTTCCTCCAAAACACCTCTTCTTTGACACTATTATGGCAATGAAATTATATTTATATCATTCAAAACCAAATACAGTACAGTATAAGCGAAATATATTTTCATACTCTTTGAGATATTAATGACATATTAATTATAGTGAATACCGACTCTCGTAAGAGTAGAAAATTATGTAAATCACACAATAAGTCATATTTTGGTTTCCATTGTGTCATTAAAACTAATGTCACGTTTTTGTATTCACTAAACTCTCAACTGATTGTTAAAACACTTGCGATACTATGCTATCAAAATGTTTGATAAATCCATTACTTGTCACTTAAAGGTAGGTCCGCTGCACACT